ACATATCCCACAAAAAAACTTATGTGTGCAACTTCCATAGTAAATCATTTTGGTGCTTCATTACCCTAGTTAAGTGTAGGCTCAGCGTGTCTGACCACAATGAACGGTGGGTAGTGAAAAACAACAGAGCCAGACAATAAAGCCAAACAGACTAGTTAATTATGGTGTCGTAGTCGTGAGAAACCAACAGGAGACTTTCTTGGTGGGCTCACGATTTCCTGAAAATCAGGATTGGAAAGGCCATTAACAGCAGTAATCGTATCCCAGTCACTTTACAAAGAAAGATAAGGAGGAATCTCAAAGATGTGTGAAATGTCCACTAGTTGGTGTTTTGTTTTGATCTTAAACGATATTGGAAATTAGATAAGAAATAAACAAATAAGTTCTGAGGTTAAATGAGTTAGTGATGTTTGCGGATTTTAAGCTCTGGTAGTTTCTGGTTGGACCTAAACGTATCGACTTACTAATTTATTCCTCAGGAGTAAATTTATTTGCCGACGTTCTCAGCACACGCTCCTGATAATTTAAAGTTTGTTCAGGAGTTATTTTCAACCATCTATCAAATGTATGTTTGTATGTGTGTGTTTGATTTTAACGATTTAAAGCAGAATGAACAATCAAATGTTTCTAGAGACACGATAACACAACAGTTTCGTTCTACAGTATTTACACGTCCCCAAGATTATATGTCTGTGTTACCATTATGTGTTATAACTCTTTTACCCAATAGAGGCCATCGACTCCAACACCACTAGTTCGTTGACATTTGTTGCTGTATACCCATGCACCATGCAGCTGCATTGTCACTGCAGACTGCACTATGCAGTTGCATTGTCACTGCAGACTGCACTATGTAGGCGGCTTCCTACGCCGACCGTCTGGTGCATATTAAACTCTTCGCCACTCCTTGGTGAAGATTTACCAGACCTTGCGTAGGCTGGGTTGGTCCTCAATATCAGTAGCTAACGATTGGGACATCATCGCTCCAACACTACAAGTCGGTTGTTCAGGCTACAAATACAGCGGATGATAAATATGGAAAAATCGTACATTGGTAAAGGTTTTTAATTGCCTGGCTCAGTATCAAAATTAACCCGTGTGCATTTGCCCGCAATTGGCAACGGGGTAACATCACAGAGTTATTCAATTAATGATTTAGAACAACTTGTAGTACAATACGATAAAGGTACAATAAATTAAAAAAGAAGAAAACCCCGCCGCAGTTATCTGTAGACTAAGCGAATTTCTACTAGTCTGATTGAACTTCACTTAAATATTTGCTTAAATATGTCAGATACATTCCCTATTTAAATAACATTAGGTTAAACAAGCTACTTATGTTGCATCTTCATGAAAGGTATGAAGGATGGCTTAGAATGAAAAAGTAAGTTTGCCGAATTCAACCAGAATATAAAATCCACAAACGAGCAAACTACAACGGTTTGGCTATTCTCCTTGAGTTTTACATTTGCAGATTTATGGAATTTTCTTTGTAACCATTATGCGTAAACTACTTTTTAATATACAAAATTATTTGTTTCTAGCACTACAACATGGCTTAGCGAAATTGCAAAATCTTAGGTTTTGAGGTGAAATCATGGGAAACAAATTTTAACCCCATAAAACCCCATTTTTGAAGTCCAATCATGTTGGTTCGCGATCTCTTTAGATTTTACAGGTTTGAACAAAATTTAATCAAAATCAGAGGATTTTTACTCGAGCTATCGTGCTTATACGGACACACAAATATATGACCATTTCATTTAATGTATAAATAGAAATACAATATTTGAACGGTAATGCAATAGATAAAACCTACTCCTAAGAGTGACGAGTGAGTATGTTTTATCTATGGTACCTAATGATTTTTGCCTCTGAGGACATCAAAATTTAAAAAAAATCGTCCCCGGGTCAAGGTCTTACCATAAGACCTGCGATAATATATGATTAATATATGAAATATGGGATATTCACTAAAAGTACTAAAAGTATCTATATCTAACTAAATTCCGCCGTTGTGTTGTGAATTGAAAGATATATACGAGTGTGGTCGCTTCCGTGCGAGACGAAGTCGAGTGCGGGATTACCATACGAGTCGGTAAACACATTTTGGACGGGTGACGTACGATATTTTCGCCATAATACTCTAAGCTAACCTAACAATAGAAAAAAAACATAACAAATCCTTTTTCCTACAGTCACCCGACTAAGTTGGCTTCCTTGTACTGTTTATAGTACAGAAAGCTGCTAATTGCTGCATATTTATATTTTGCCGTACGGTTTATACTTTGCCGTACGGTTTATACTTTGCCGCACATCAGGATTCCAACGAAACAACACAAAACAGCGTGGTTCTATTATGCACGTAATCCGTGTACGCATGGAAATAGGTTGGCAACACTTAAAGATAATAATACTATGAGCAGCTGATTGACTATTATGACTACGATTTAACCTGTCATTTCGTGTTTATAGTTTCGGTATTTCTGAACTTTCTGGACTTTTCTTTTAAACGTTTTTAAAACATTCCTACGATCTTAATAAATAAGAAAATACAATTTAAGCGTTTTTTTAGGCGCGGAAACCACTTCAAATTACAAAAACATACGGAACTATATTATATTCTTAAAACGCGGAGCACATTTCTTGCCGAGGAAAAATAGCGGAGAGAAACGGACCGCGCGTACTACTTTCTCTAGGGCACCTATTTGTGTTGCCAGCTGAACCTAAAAACGTGTTGTATAGTGTTTGAATGACTAATTATTTATGTACTTTATAGTGACTGTAGGAAAAATATAATGTGTAACACGAGTGAAAAAGGCCTTTGCTGCACTCGAGATCATTCCGCACTCGCCTGCGGCTCGTGCGTAAACATTGCTCTCGTGTGCAGCAAAGTGCCACTTTCACCACTAGTTACACAAATAACTATTTTATTCCTACCGACTAAAGAACTAACAATCACTCACTCCTCACTATAGTAATTTGTATTCATCGCTAGAGGTTATGTTTTTGTTTATAGCCACTCATTGTCAAATATAATATAATCAGCTGGTTGGTGCCTGGTAAAAACCATCGTAATAGTATATTACGTTACTAGTCTTGAAAATAAGTGTTTACCGGACGAGTGTGGTCGTTCCCGTGCCAGACGAAGTCGAGTACGGGATTACCATACGAGTCCGGTACACACATTTTGGACGAGTTACGTACGATAGTTTACGCCATACTACTAAATCCGTACAAATCCTTAAGGACTAAAAATCACTAGTCATAACCTCTAAGAGAGGTTATGTTTTTGTTTATAACTACTCACTGCCACCTAAATACAGTATACTCAGCTGATTGGTGTCCGGCAAAACTCATTGCAGCACAGTAGTACGCAATGAAACCCCATTTGAATAAGCTGGCGGCAAACAGCTGTTTTCTGGACTAATTACTTGCGTGGGAAGTTCGTCAAAATAATGTAGTGTGGCGTAAAAACTAATTACAGTACAGTAGTACCTTTGACGCCAATAGTCAATGGTAGTACCTTTGTAGTACCATAGACTAACCAACACAAGTAGACTTCTCATCCCATTATAAATTTTGAAGCACGTTTTTCGTGTCTAGTTCATGTACGTGAAAGGCGCTAGTGTCGACGAAACTTTGTTTCTATTATTTTAGGGTTATTTTCTTGATTTGTGCTTTACTGTTTGGTTATATAACTAGGGGACAAGTTATTGTTTATGATTAGATCGTATTATTTGGTTAAACGAGGTTTTAAATGGCTGTAATAACGGGAAACAAATTGTAAACAAAACACGACCTCTACATAAACCGTACAGAACTAACAATAAAATATAAGGGAGTATGTTTTATCTATGGTAGTACGTAATGAAACCCCATTTGATTAAGCTGGCGGCAAACAGCTATTTTAAGGACTAAATCCTTATGTGGGAAGTTCGTTAAAACAGTAACACTCCCAGTAGGTTAACAGTAAAACGGTAAAACTCTCAACAAGCTCGAAACAAATATTATTTAATTTTGTCAAAACCTCAGCGTTTGCACATACATTAATTGTCTATGTCCATGCTGATTCCGAAAACAACCGAACTTAAGAACTACAATATGTCTTTTTTGCATTTACATTTTTTTTTATTGAGCTACCGTACACAATGTTATAATTTGAAACTTCTTTTGGCAACGTTTTGGATCATTCATTCATTATTTTATAATATTCGTGGATAAAACCATAGCCCACTCTTTAAGTTCAAAAATAGACTGATTATATTAACAGGCAATCAGTGCCTACACAGGCACCTCCTACGTTATGTCATAGCTAGAACATGTGATTTATTGTCTGACAGGTTCAACAACCTCATTGCCAAGGCTAAGAGAGATTAGAGCATCTGGCGGGAAGATGCACCGGTATACAACAGTGACAATCGGGCCAAGAGAACCAAATCAGGACACTATGTTACGCAGAGGAAGCATTAACCAGACCACTTGTTATGCAAAGAGACCAAATCAGGGCCAGATATTTTGAAACGAAAGCAACTGTATTTCCAAATTCAACTGTAACTGTTCGAGTAGCTATAAAAAAATCACAAATGAGTATGTAATTGGAAACATAGGGTTAAAATTTGTGAATCCATAACGGTATAGCCAAAAAAGTAAGGAAAATTTCCCTTTCCCGTTCAGTGAAGTTTCGTACCACTGCTCATTTTTTCCGTTTCAAAAATAGTCTCAGCACCTATTCGTTTTAAGAGTCCTTGGACGCTAGTGGCCACCTTCGAAAATTTCAAACAGCTACTGAAGAGTTATTTGCTATTTCAAAATAATTGTTCAAATACCAAAGTGATTGTAATTAGTGCACTGTGAGATTAGAAATTTACTTTGTAGTTTTTTTTATGAGTTAGAACGTTTAGACTTCAAGGACACTTAAGATTACACAGTAGATACAAATATGTTGCTTAATTTTTTGATAAAAGAAAATTTGAAATGACTAAAGTGTACAAACTCACCCCTGTGTAAATCGCTGAGTAGAAAGCTAGAGACGCGTGTCCAGAGGGAAACGATAACCTAAAACAAAATTTGTTCGAGTCAAATAGAGGCCAACTAGGTTTTTTTGCTACTCTAGGTATTCAAAGTAGATTTTAGCGCGTTATACTCTATGATATTTTTTTGGCATACCTAGCTTCTGCTACGACGTCAGGGTCTCCAGAACACTCGTAGTCCGTGACGTAAACATGGTCCTTGCCAGGACCACAGACATCCTCCGGGTAGGGCTTGCAGGCGTCGTAGAAATGAGGCCTTAAACGTCCTGAGACAAAGATAAGGAATGTTGTATAAGTACGATGTATGATATGATTAATAAGCTAAAATATGAAGTGTCAATATAGAGATATGACTAATATAGTAATTCGAGTTTAAATGAGTCCATACAATGCATATTGAGGATGATTTGAGTTTGTATAAACTGGATTTAGAGAACGATGATATCTGGAGTTATTATTGTAGGATTAGTTGTAGAATCTGAATTTTATCTTCGTAATTCTATCTTTAAATACACCTAGCGTTGACAAGTGGACTACTTGTATTTGTAGTACCGATATTTAACCATTGATTATAGGCTAGTGTCAATTACTTTAGGAAATAATAACATTTAAACCATAATTTTTACGAGACCACAACATACTAAATTCTAATCAAAATCGTTTGAGCCGTTTTTGTGAAAATAGGTACCACTTTTCCGTTATTTTATGGAGTTAAAAAAATCGCATTAAAAAATCAAAATTTAAAATAATGAAGAACACTTGGAGAAAATATGGATTAGTACATACCTAAATTAATCAAAATTGGACAAAATAGATATACCAAATCGGCCGAAATTATACATCAAGATAATTTACATTTCCAAAATAACTATTCATGCATGGGTCTACGAATTACATTGTGATTGAGGGATTATCAAAGCCTCCTCTTAATCCCAGTTCCAAGATGGTCATTTGTAAAATTTTACTGACTGATCTTAGGAAAGATAGTAAACTAATTGATTAATTGATTTATCAAGATTATATCGAATTAAGCGATTAATCGATACAAATATCGTCAAGGAATCAATAGCTGTATAGGCTTTTACAAAAGAGTCAAATCCATAGGCTTGTCTGTAGTATAAGGTATACATATAAATACGCCAAGGATTTTTTTCAACTTAACTATCATGCATTTTAGTAGTTTGTTTAAAGATAACATAATATGTACAAAAATATTAGATCAAAATTATAGCTGTAGGATGGTTTTACAACTTTTGCTATTTTAGTACTTAATTTCACGCTTGATTCATAGTAAACATTTGTTTACCTATTGTGTATTTCCCCACATCGCTAGTGATCTGCATGAGGCCAACGCCGAACAGAAATATTCCGTAGAGCTCGTAGATGTTCTTGAGCAGACTGGAAGACACAGAGTGCCAAGAATCTCGAGGAGTGCTGGTGTCGAATAATCGGAACCCTTCCACCACAAGGAACTGTCAAATAAAACATAGAGTAAGAACAGCAACACGTTCACATACAGAACATAGAGTATTAGACGTGAGGCTTGCCTGGTGTCTAGGAATGAAAAGGACGAGAATCTCTTCCATTACGACATGATGTCAAAAAATTAATTACAGAAAAATAAAACATTCAGGACATACCATACTCATAAATAGATACATAACATTTAGTAATATAAAAAGATAAGGCTGACTCTAAAAATCGTAACCTTGAAGGAGAGGTCCTGCAAAAACTTGGAATCCTTCCAATTCCAGGTTCCATTAGTCGTGAGATCTTTTGCCCAAATCGCTCCTGGCTTCGTGCTTAGAATGCCAGCCATGAAGAAACTGAAGGAAGAATTGAATGCCTGTGTTAAAGAAAATTATCGATTCTATACTAATCGAACGATTTCTCAAGTGTCAAACACAATTCAAGGAGTTGAAGGAACACACAACCTTAGTCTTTTGGTTCGCAGAACCATTACAAATTGTAGAAACCAACGCAATTGCTATCATAGATTGTGCATTGGAAGTTGGAAGTACAGTATGTTTATTGTAATAGCCTTCGTCTACGATATCTTCTACAGTACAGCCATTCTATTGTGGCAACAGTGATTGCATGATTGCACAGAGGATGCAGTAAGGACCTCAGATCACAGCTGATTAGTGATCACCAAGTGTAGGCAGGTTCCGGTGACCTGCTATGGTAATGACTGCACTTCCGGTCTGCATGACTTCCGGCGATGGTCTATGGCCATCCAAGGTGTCGGAGGTCTAGGAGTTAGTTCGTTGAGATTCCTCAGACTTAACTGTCAAATTTGAGTTAAAAAGTGTTCTACTCTTTCTACCGGATATTTTACTAGAGGGTTTGGATAATACAGGGGCTAGGGTGTATTATCTTTTGTACTGAAGACGCTGGTATTTTACCTATTTGATAATGATGTGACCCGGTGTTCAGAGCACTCATTCACCATAAGTCCTACAAACCAATGATGGGTCGCTCAGGAGAGCGCACTCCTTTAGGCAATTCCATCATGTAATTGAAATTTTGTTTAGAGTCGGTACTTAATGTATTACAAAATGAAAAGAGTTCATGAACTTTAATCCTATAATGAATATGAATAACTTTTTAAGATACAGATAAAACTTTAACACTGTTTTTCAATTGCCGTTGTTCCTTTGACTCCCACTGGAGCATGAGGCTTCAGTAAAATCCCTCTCATCAACAACCCTCTTCACTTCTTTCCAATTAGTCCTTTCCTTTCCGCACTTATAAGGATACCACAGATAAGTTTTTACTCAAGTCTATTACAAAGACAAAAAATTAAGCTGATTTAGATTCTATCTTGGACAACAATTTCTCATTCACATCGTAAACTTTTTATACTTTTCAGTTTGCAGCCTGATTATTGATTATTCAAATTACTTAGACTGGTAGGTTTACTTACAACAAAGGCTGGTAGGGTGAAGCAGAAAGCTGCTAGAGGTCCGGTCGAAATGGTCTGGGGTAGAAAAGGATATCTGATGGATTCATCGTCACAGAAGAAACCCCTCTTGGTGGGCTGCGTGAACAAGTTGATGCAAACGACAAGGAGTCCAACTGAAACATGAAACCATAGGCTACCATTAAATCAGTTGTTAAGTATCAGCATTAAGGCACTTCGGGACCTATCAACAATCAACAACTCATCAGACCCCAGGTCAGTTGTCCCCACCATCAGGTCTAGGTTTTGTTGTCGGGGAAACAACTCGTACAATTGGGTCAAGTAATTTCATAGACAAGTCCACGAGCGTTGAAATATCCATTTTTAAACAATAAAATCAGAAATTTAAATATTACACTCCACTGGTAGTGTGTGGTGGTGGGGTTCATTCGTTACATGGGTTTCGGAATGGAAAATAATATTACTGTAGACAAAATACTAAAATCACTTAAGACAGTTTTGAAGCTTAAAATCTTCTGGGATTAATCTAATCTAAATAACTATACAGCCCGATGTGTAACTCACTCAATGGGGATACAAATTCTAGACCACTTCTAGATGTGCTAGGGAGTTGAAATTTGGCACGATTGTCGGTCTTGGTACTAAACCCCCGGGAAAATTCTGAAAAGTCGCATTTTTTTATTTTAACCCCCCCTTATTTAAGAATTTCCCCCCCAATGTTATTCTTATGGGAAATAACATTGAAAATTACCGACTTTGGTATGCTCATCTGAACCACTTAGAAACGTGGTAGAGACTTCAAATTTGCGTAGTATTGCAGTATGGGATCTTACATTACCGGTGGAATTGGCAAAAGTCCCATTTTAAAATTTTAACCCCCTCAAAAATCCAAAATGGCGGACCTCTGAAAACGAAAAAACACGTTTTTTTCAACCGGATGTAGCTCGAAAACGGTAAGAGATAGAAAAGATTTGAAAGTATATCCAGGAACAGGAATTAAATTTTCTACAAAACCCTATTGGGCGTTTTCCAAAAATCGCACTCCTTCAGCTTAAAAAACCGCCCTACTTTCAAAATTTGGTAAATTTTTATTAAATTTTTACCGGTTTTCGTCATTTTTTCATACTTAAATAATTTTTTTCCGCAAATATTATTATTGCTTTGTATTTTCCTTACTTTACTTTAAATTTCACTCATGAATTGTTTTTTCGTAACTTTACTGCTTGACCCCCAAAACTTAATTTTAATCTCAAAATTTGAAGGTTTTTTGCCACTTTTACGAGCCCCATGTTATTCTTATGGAGAATAAGATTGGAATTTAATGACTTTGGTATGGTCATACGAATCGTTTGGAAACGTGCTAGAGACTTGTAATTTGGTAGTATTGTAGTATGGGATCTTATATTACCGGTGAAATTCCCAAAAGTCCCATTTTCAAATTTTAACCCCCCAAAAATCCAAAATGGCGGACCTCTGAAAACGAAAAAACACTTTTTTTTTAACCGGATGTAGCTCGAAAACGGTAAGAGCTAGAACAGATTTGAAAAAATCTTAGCGAAAGGAAGTTAAATTTTCTACAAAACCCTTTTAGGCGTTTTCCGGAAATCACACTCCTTAACCTTCAAAAAACGCCCTACTTTCAAAATTTAGTAAATTTCTTTGAAATCTTTTACGGTTTTCGCTATTTTTTCATACTTAAATAATTCTTTTTTGCAGATATTATTAGTGCTCTGTGTTCCCATTAATTTACTTTAAATTTTACTCACTTAATGTTTTTTTGTATCCTTACTCCTTAACCCCCAAAACTTAGGTTTAATGTCAAATTTTAAAGGTTTTTTACCAATTTTACAAGCCCATGTTATTCTTATAGAGAATAACATTGAAAATGGTGGACTTTGGTGTGCTCATCTGAACCGTTTAGAAACGTGCTAGAGACTTGAAACTTGGTATTATTGTAGTAAGGGATCTTATATTAATAATGAAATTTGCAAAAGACCCATTTTCAAATTTTAACCCCGCCAAAAATCCAAAATGGCGGACTTCTGAAAACGATAAAACAAGTTTTTTTTAAACGGGTATAGCTCGAAAACAGTAAGAGCTAGAAAAGATTTGAAAGGATCTTAGCGAAAGGAAATTAAATTTTCTACTGAACCCATTCCAGCGTTTTCCTAAAATCGCACTCCTTCAGCTTCAAAAAACGCCATAATTTTAAAATTTTTTTAAATTTCTTTCAAATTTTTACCGGTTTTCGCTATTTTTTCATACTTAAACAATTCCTTTTTGCAAATATTATTATTGCTTTGTGTTCTCCTTACTTAACTTTAAATTTTACACATTACATGTTATTTCGTAACTTTACTCCTTGTCCCAAAATACTTACCACTTTTACGAGCCCCATATTATTCTTATGCAGAATAAGATTGAAATTTGATGACTTTAGTATGGTCAAATGAATCGTTTAGAAATGTGCTAGAGACTTGAAATTTGTTAGTATTCTAGTAATGGATCCGAAGTTAATGGTGAAATTTGCAAAAGTCCAACATTTAAATTTTAACACACCCAAAAATCCAAAATGGCGGACCTCTGAAAACGACAAAACACGTATTTTTCAATCGGCTATAGTTCGAAAACTGTAAGAGCTAGAAAAGATTTGAAAGATTTTTCATGAACAGGAATTAAATTTTCTACAAAATGCTTTTAAGCGTTACCCGAAAATCGCACTCCTTCAGCTTCAAAAAAACGCCCTACTTTCAAAATTTGGTAAATTTCTATAACATTTTTACCGGTTTTCGCAATTTGTTTATACTTGAATAATTTATTTTTGCAAATATTATTATTGCTTTCCCTTACTTTGCTTTAAATTTTACTATTACATTTTTTTTCGTAACTTTACTCCTTGACCCCCAAAACTACGAGCCCAATGTTATTATTATGGAGAATAACATTGAAATTTAATGACTTTGTTATTGTCATCAGAATCGTTTAGAATCGTGCTAGAGACTTGTAATTTGGCAGTATTGTAGTATGGGATACTAAGTTAAGGGTGAAATTTGCAAAAGTCACATTTTAAAATTTTTAACTCCCCAAAAATCCAAAATGGCGGATATCTAAAGACGATATAACACGTTTTTTACGGCTATAACTAAAAAGCAATAGGAGCTAGCCAAGATTTGAATGGATTTTCATGTTCAGGAATTTAATTTTCTACAAAACCCTTTACACGTGTTTTCCGAAAATGTCTCCCCTTCACCCCTAAAAAACGTCCTATTTTCAGAAATTGGTATTTTTCAAATTTCTACCGGTTTTCGCTATTTTTACATACTTCAATAATCACTTTTTGCAAATGTTATTAATGCTTTGTATTTTTCTTGGCTTAATTTCGGTTTTTTTCGTAACTTTACTCCTTGACCCCCAAAACTTAAGTTTAATATCAAAATTTAAAAGGTTTCACCAGTTTCACGAGGTAATAATAGACTCTTTACCTTTTCTGTATGCACAAGGTTATTAAAACTATACAAAGTTGTATTAGAGCTAACACCAAGGTATGAATATAATAAGGACCATTTAAAAGGTCACCCCCTCTCGAAATCCCCCTTATATCTATCCTATAGCCACCACAGATTCATCGGTCTAAATCACGTTTACCAATTTCTAGATTAGCTAAAAATCCTGAATTTTGCACCCTGTCCCCCTGTGGCACATTTGTACTTACAAAATTTTACCCCCAATTTTCACTACTTTTCCCAATCTAAGTAAATTCTTTTTGCAACCATTATTAATATTTTGTATATACTCTGGTTTACTTAAAGTTTAATCCCCCTATCGTATTTCCAACCCCCCCTCCCGAATATTATATCCTCCCCCGCCCCAATGTTATTCTTACAGGTGCGTAAGTCTAAATCACGTTTACCCATTTCTAGATTAACTGGATGTCTGAAATTTGGCCCGATTGTAGGTCTTGTGCCCTGTCCCCCGTGGCTCATTTACCCCCGACTAAAAGCTAGGGGGCCTGGGGGCGGAGCCCCCAGCGAGCCAAAGGCGAGTCTAATATATATACAGCCGCATATGTAACTCACTGGGGGATACAAATTCTAGCCCACTTCTAGATGAGCTAGAGACTTGAAATTTTCGGTGTTTTGTAGGTCTAGTGCCCAAACCCCCGGGAAAATTCCAAAAAGTGACATTTTTAAATTTTAACCCCCCCGAAATTAAGGGTTTCCCCCCCATGTTATTCTTATGGGGAATAACATTAAAAATGTCCGACTTTGGTGTGCCCATCCGAACGGTTTAGAAACGTGCTAGAGACTTGAAATTTGCGTAGTATTGTACTATGGGATCTTAAATTAACGGTGAATTTTACAAAAGTCCCATTTTCAAATTTTAACCAACCCAAAAATCCAAAATGGCGGACCTCTGAAAACGACAAAACACGTTTTTTCCAACCGGATGTAGCTCGAAAACGGTAAGAGATAGAAAAGATTTGAAAGTATATCCAGGAACAGGAATTAAATTTTATACAAAACCCTCTTAGGCGTTTTCCAAAAATCGGACTCCTTCAGCTTCAAAAAACGGCCTACTTTCAAAATTTTGTAAATTTCATTCACATTTTTTACGGTTTTCGCTATTTTTTCATATTTAAATAATTTCTTTTTGCAGATATTATTAATGCTCTGTAATAATCTCACTTTACTTTATATTTTACTCATTTAATGTTTTTTTGTATCTTTACTCCTTAACCCCCAAAACTTAAGTTTAATGTCAAAATTTAAAGGTTTTTTACAACTTTTACACGCCCCATGTTATTCTTATGGAGAAAAACATTGAAAAAAGCCGACTTTAGTATGCTCATCTGAACCACTTAGAAACGTGCTAGAGACTTGAAACTTGGTAGTATTGTAGTATGGGATCTTACATTACCGGTGAAATTCCCAAAAGTCCCATTTTCAAATTTTAACCCCCCCCAAAAATTCAAAATGGCGGACATTTGAAAACGAAAAAACACTTTTTTTTCAACCGGATGTAGCTCGAAAACGGTCAGAGCTAGAAAAGATTTGAAAGGATCTAAGCGAAAGGAAATTAAATTTTCTACAAAACCCTCTTAGGCGTTTTCCAAAAATCGCACTCCTTAACCTTCAAAAAACGCCCTACTTTCAAA